GGGAGAGAGCAGTGTGTAGATAAAGGACAAAGAAATAATAGTTTAATGGTGATTGGAGATGGGTGGAATAATCATGGCAGTCGTCTGACTGCACAGTAAAAAAAATTGTAATATAAAAGTATTTTACTGTGTATTTTACAGTTTTGTACCGTTTTTCTAGAATATCATTAAATTCACATAAATAGACTGTGATTTTACATTTCAAATGTAAATTAACGTAAAATCATTGTAAATGTAATAAAACATAATTTTCTTGTTTTTTTAAATGTATTTGTCTGTACATGTGCATATTTAGATTGTTAAAATACATTCACAAATGTATCATAATTTCACAAATATTTGTCCGTTATTTGAAAGATTGAACTGTTAAATTCAAATGTAATGCTATGAAAAAATATCTAAAATGATTCTTATAAACTTTCTTTACATCGAATAATTATTATTATCACTGTTATTTAGGGCGATTGTGGCTCAAGAGTTGGCAGTTCGCCTTGTAATCAGAAGGTTGCCGGTTCGAGCCCTGGCTCCGACAGTCTTGGTCGTTGTGTCCTTGGGCAAGACACTTAATCTACTGGTGATGGCCAGAGGGGCCGATGGTGCGATATGGCAGCCTCGCCTCTGTCAGTCTGTCCCAGGGCAGCTCTGGCTATGACTGTAGCTTGCCTCCACCAGTGTGTGAGAGTGAATGAATATTGGAATTGTACAGTGATTTGAAGGTCTCGAAAGGCACTAAATAAATGCAATCCATTATTATTTAAACCAACTGTTAACTGTATATTTCTGTACATTTAAGTATTATTATGCATATTGCCGCATTCATTGACCTTGTTTATAGGTCATTTCATTGTTTAATCACATTAAAATGTTCCTAATTTAATGTTTAAAAGCACTTGAAAAAGGCAAAATCCCATGTAAAATTAGGGCAACAAACTGTATTGTCACTACTGAAAATAACCGTATTTTTATGAGAAAGTTATTTTCTGTTATTTTCTGGTATTATTTTGGAGCCCCAGCTGCTGGAATATTACTGTTTTTTTAGGATTCTTTTTTACGGTGTGGACTGAATATTGGTTTGATGTAAAATTAAACTCTGTTCATATCTGAAACTCTGATAGGTCTGTTTTTAATATAAACTAACACTTGATTTTTACAGAGCTAGGAAAGAAGTTAGGGAAGAACAAATGGCTGGCACAAATAATTAAATAGAATTCGAATGCTCTCGTGGCATTTGTTCTCAGTTTAGTATCATATGAGAAACGCTGATGTCAGGATTCAAAAACTGATGCAAGGGACATTAAAAAAAGGAAAGAAAACATTGTCCTACTTCTGGTAAACAGAGACCCTCATCAGGTGAAGACGAGAAGGGAGTGTTTAGTGCAGCTCTTATGATTTGTTCAGATGATTAGAAACCCCCTTCGTAATTCTCTCTCTAAGTGTCATCAGCCTCTTCACATAAAAATACATGGTTACTCCTCCGCCTGTATCATCATCGACTAAAGTGCAGCTGGATTTCCTCATTGAGATGTAAAGAGCGATAATTGCAGACTGATTGCAGCTGTATGAGAGCTTTCATCTAAGTCCTGGTCTTGAAATATTGTGTGGTGGAAAGATATTTTGTACCACGTACCTTGAAATGCAGATTATGCCTACTGCTCTGCTGCAAAAGAGCCAACATTTCATGAAATTGCTGCATCTTAATAAAGTTCCTGCTAAAGACTGTTGTTTTATCTTAGTGGCCTCCAGCTCCCCCGAGACACTCTAATAAAGTCAGGATACATTATCATCCAGGAATGAATGAAATGATGTTTTCTACCTCAACATAAATGAGAACCAGCACATTACAAAGAATAGTTATAATGACTTAAATTCTGATTCAGTTCATATTACAAGCTCATACTGTATGACAAATGCTGTTTTCTTGAACACCTGGGATTTGCTGCTTTTTGCAATTATTCACTTTTTACACCAACAGTAAAAGTGCCTTTCACTGGCTAATATTTTCAGCTGCAAATAAAAACCATTTGAACTAATCTTGGTAAAGCTAAAGCTGGTTATGAGGTCAGATACTGCAAAAAAACAAAAAAAACAAAAAACAAAAACAAAGGCTGCTTGTTTGATATTTTAGACTTGAGCTTATATTTATGGACTGACTAGTCTGATCAGACACAGGTTTTATATGAGAACTGGCAATATATGAGTCACACAAGGTTTAAGTTGGCAGGGGCTCCGCTAACAACAAAAGCAATGGACTGCAAAATATGGACACCGCACTGTGCATTTAAAACCTAATAATTAATAAGGCTGGAGTAGCTATAAGCAGTATATGAGGATTGATTTCATATTAACAGTTATTACAAAAAGTTTTCAGATCGCTAAAGACGTATAACTTTAGATAGGGACAAGATGTTTATGCAGTAGCAGTTCAAATGAGCAGAGAAACAGTTTGGGGCTAAAGGTGGCCGTAGAATAAATGAAACTTTCAAGTTCATTGTTTTCTCTGGGAGACTCTTTGAGTAATTGTCAGAGGAGTGATGGGCAGTATTAGTTGTATTGTATTAAAAGAAATGTATCTGGCCCAGCGGGCTTTTGATGAGCTTAAGGCTCATAGATCCCAACAGCACACATGCACTTAACTCACCGCTCACACTTTCGAAACTCTTCGTACTCCATCGTGACTCAGCCTGAGCTGCCAGAGGAGACTGTCTGATACCGTAAGCACTGCCGAACAATTTAACGGTGATGGGTAGTGTTGGGAGAGTGTCTCCACTTTGCTCTGGAACTCTGTCCCACAATTTCCCAACTTCAATATTGAGGCACTTTCAAATCAGTAACGCGTGTTCCTGAGTCTGTGTACACACTGTGCTCAATAAACCTCTTGAGTTATATAGTGCAAACTGTCTGTACCCCAGAAAGAATCAGGTTTGTGAGGAAAAAATGAGGATTAGATGTTCTTTGTCAAAAAGAAAATACAGAATCTAATGTGTGTGTCTCAGTATTGCTTAATGTGTGTGTTTAGAGAGCCTCAGGTCTTCGGGATGGCACTGTTCTTCTGCTCCCACTTTAATTGGCTGCTGGCCCCTTAGCCTCGCCTGAATAGAGAGTCATTTAGGGACCTTTCACTCTCATAGAGGATTGTCGGTTGCCGCTGCCGGAGAAATTGCATTCCTGTTTCCATACAATGGCTGGTCTGAGTTGGAAGGGGCACGAGTATCACTGTCATTATCATAACAATGGAAGCTAATTCCACTGCCACTAGCACCATTCTGAAACCCTCTGCAGCACCAGCTTATCAGGGGGCACCATGAGACCAGCAGGAAGCTGCGCGAGCAACGAGCATGAGGCAAAGATTCACACATACTGAGCACGCTCTCAGACAGACGCAGGCACATTCAGGACTCACACTCTGCTTAGAAAGACTGTCAGAGATGTAAACCAACACATCAGCAAAAAAAAAAAAAAAAGTTTATTGGACAGCACGTCTCACTGATGGCACACAGTGTGGCTGAATATTTCTCTGCACTCATGTTATCTTTTCAGAGGCAAGGACTTTTTTCATGTCATCAGTGAAACAATGACTCTTTAAATACCAACTTTAACCGCTACAACTAAACACTTCTTTAACCCTTAAATGTCTGTGTTGGAGCATTAGCTATAGGTACAGGTATACTAGCAGGATTAGGGCTGTGATTGTCTGTATGTGTATGTAAAACTGGATGTGCTGCATACTTGCAGAGAGAATATATAAAATATATAAAGTAGAAATTGAAAGCTTAAGGACATTTGTAACTATTTAACCCTGTGTGCTTATTCGCATTAATTCACTGCAGGCTGATTTGACCCAGTTATATTGCAGCACTGATCCCATTCTTCCATCTGAGTGTATTATTTACCATCCAGCAGTATCTTCCTCTGCTAATTCAAAAGCCATCGTGATGTCAGACCTTAGAGTCCCCATTAAAAGCTCACTGACCTGATCCACATTTAAATCACACACACTCATTTGCATGGTTATGCCTGTGAGGCCGTTCATTTCCCAAATGCAATCTTTCTCCCAAACCTTTGTCTTTCCTTCAAGTCTCTAAACTTCCATCGTACTTTAAGCTAAAGTTGAGGTAGAGCATGTTTAACCTGAACCGTAAAAAGCAAGTCTCAACTTCAAACAAGTATTTGAATGACCAAAAGGTCCTCATATTTCCTAAACATCTTCATTCTGATGGTGATGAGTTTGACAGGTGCTTACATACACAGCTGGCCACGTATATGAGGATATAAGTACCCCATGTTGGTGCTCTAGAAGAGACCATTTGAATTCACTATCTGAAACCATTATAACTGTGTCTATCTATATATATTTTTTCTAAAAGGGACAACATTTTAAAATTATTATTTGCTTTTTTAACATTTAGCACCAAAGTGGCCCAAGATACAGACAGTGTGAAGTCGCATTAAAATCCAACAGAAACAAGGAAAGAAACATGAAGAATAAAAATAATTTAAAAAACACACCCAGAGAAATAATTAGAAGAGACTCACAGAAGCAGGCAGGGGAAAAGCCTATACACACACACACACACACACACACACACACGTAATAACACAGAAGCAGGCAGGGGAAAAGCCTATCACACACACACACACACACACACACAGGACCGATTAATCACAGGTGGGAAGAATTAAGACACAGCAAACAGAGGTAAGAGCAACAAAAACAAACAAGTAAAGAAATCCTTTCAAAATTCAACAAAGGTAACAAAGAAACAAAGAGTAACCAAGAATTAAACTCTAAATTAAATCAAACTATGGCAAGAAATGTCAACCTCATGGTTATGTTTAGAATTTAGGGGATGACCAAAGCTGTGAAGGTCTTCCTCTGGAGTGAATCATTGATGTTTGCTTAAAAACAATCCATGCAGATCCAAAACATACCGAGATGCCGTAGCTTGGATCAAAGTGACCACCTAAATAAATACGCCTGATTTCTGTAAGCGAGATGAACAGAACTCAAACTCAAATTTGCTTTAATGTTGGCTGAACACATGAGTTTCCAGGACAGGTGAGGAAGAAGATATTTTAAAAAGTGCACTGATACATGTGAGACTTTTCATTCCAGCTGTGGCATAAAGCCATTTCATTGTAAAATACTTGTAAATTATTTAAAGCACATCTAAACCTAACCGAATCCATGTACAGTATTGTGCAAAAGTCTTAAGCACCCCCTTATTTCTTTTATTTTGCTTCAAAGGAGCCAGTGGTTTTGAGCATAAGCTCTCCAGTTTTTTTTGTTGTTGTTGTTTATTTGAAGGTCTGAAAGTGCATGAACACTGGTGCCTTTTTCAGTCATTTTCAGTCCTGTCCGATCATGTATTATCCTCTCCAGGACCTCCCCTGGACCTCAACATTATTGAAGCAGTGTGGGATCATCTTGACAGAGAACTGAACAAAAGGCAGCCAAGGTCCAAAAAAGAACTTTAAATGTCCTTTAAGAGCCTGGAGAACTATTCCTGAACACTACATAAAGAAATTACAAGGAAGCCTACCCAAGAGAGTTCAGGCTGTGTTGAAGAATTAAGGTGTTCACAGCAAATGTTGACTTTCATTAACAAATTCTGCCTTACATACTCTATTTTCATGCATGTTTACGCATATGTCAAACAGTCACTGCATCACACGTATTTCCTGCTCTCCCAGTAAAAATGGTAGTTAAAGAGATTTGCACAGTAAAGTACTACAACAAAAGCAAAACATTCACCAACACTGGTGGCTATTGTCCCAGCATCTTAAAATAATCACACCTGCAGTATTTCACCCCTTTGAAAAATCCAGGTCACCTGCTGTCCTCCCACTGAGCAATATGCTCTGCATCTGTTAAAAGAAAAACATGAAATATAAAAGAGATTCTGCTTGTTGTTCACACAAAAACTGTCGCATTTGTGTTATAATTCTCAAGTTATCCTTCGGTTCTCTTCAGAAATGATTGTAAAGTCATAAATGTTTAACTCATGAAAGAGTTTCAAATTCTGGATACGTTTTCATACATAAAAAAAACCCATAGACACAAGTACAAGCGGTATGTGGAGACACACAACTTAGTGTCTGCTCCAGGCTGTGTGATATCCACTTATCATTTTATTACCAATTAAAACAACACAGCAATAATGTCTGGAAATTAGTCTGATGGGCTGCAGGGCTCTGTGCACTTATAATCAGCTTAATTTATGCTTGTAGTTCTTTGTTGCTTTAGTGAAATTTTGCTTTTATTTTGAGAGGAAGTGTGACAACGTTATTGATTGAGGAAGAATATTTCCATAAATTTAGCTTTGTTAAAACCATGTAGGACTATCTGCTACAGACACAGTTCAGCAGCAAGCTCTCCTTTGATCACAATTTACTAATCATGTTTTACACATTGTACACAAAGGAAAAACAGAAAGGTGGTTTGTAAAAAATCACATCCCTGCAACGAGGACCAGATTCAGAGCAGATCCATCATTCAGCTGTGAGTAATCAATAGATTACACAGCAAACACTTGCAAAGACACACTCAAGTGGGCAAAACTAAACATCTGCCACCATCTCATTTCTCATGATCAATGTAAGTGCACGTGTGTGCGTGTGTGTCTGTGTTTTCAGACACTGAAGGCTTTTGTGGAGCTGAGGTATATTGATTACTCAGAGCTTCTTGATGGTGAGCACTGAGTGTCATTGATTTAGACTGAGAGGCAGGTGTGAGCGGGATCACATGGAGATTTCTGTGTTTTCACATCATTACTGGACACACTGGATTAATATTTTACACTTCACTGAACATCAGTGACAGAGGCAGTGAAGTAGGAAAACTAATTGCCTCGACACAGTGCAGCACAGCATGTACAAGAAGCAGAAACCAAAATTGTAAAGAAGAGGCCATTTTTAAATGGAAAAATGAGAGGATGTCCATTCTGCTACCTAAACAAACAAACTATTATTGAGCTCTCTTTATATAGATTTTTTTAATATTAAAATATAATATTTATTTTTCGTTATGTGAAAGGACCACTTATACCATGTGGCTTAGAAGATAAAACACTGTCCTTGAACTGCAACGTAGCATTAATCTTATTACAGTAATCTCTCTTAAATGTATTAAAATGTCAAAAAAAAGTACAAATTACAAAGTAGTCAGTGTAGTGAATCCTTTTATAATAGCACTATAGGCACTGGGGTTTTCGGACACACAGATCTCTTTCAAAATGAAGACTGCCATAGGAGGACAGTACATTCTCATTTGCAAATCATCTGTGGACAAACAGCGGTTGCTTTTGAGTAAAATTAATGTGCAAAGATTTCATAGTGAAGAAAAAAGAAGTGTTCCTCTCAGGTTAAGCTTTATCTCTGAATAAAAAATGTCAAGTCTTATTTTTTCTGAAATTCTGTTACAATATTTTTAGGCAGCCAGTTGTGCAAAAATGTAATCTAGGTTTTCATCCATACCATGCTGGCAAATGTATCTGTTCAGTGTTTTACAGCGCTGGTCATTCCAGTTGAAACCACTCGATGCCTGCAGCTCGACACAGTTTCCAAAACTGTAAAGAAAAAGAGAAGCTGTGAGTGGACTAATGTGAAGGGTTTGTGATAGATACCAGAAATGGTTAGCATTATGCACTGCTACTGAGAGCATGGACAAAAGAAGTGATTATAATTACAAAGGTTAAGGAAACACAGAGGGAAACAGAGACATCTAGTGGCATTAATGAGGGATGCATGTCAACTAAGATCACTGTTTTTTCTATTGGTTAAAAACTGGGTTAATTAATTAATTTGAAATAAAAATAAAGAACTAAAGTAAACAGAGGGGGGAGGGGCTAAATTAAAAGAAAACAAACGTCCAAACCCACCCCCCAAAAAACAAAACAGAGAAGCAGATTTTTCCACCTTTCAGGAGAGTTGCTTTGTTTGTTTTGGTCCATTTCCCTCGGCCGTCTGTCAGTAGCTAATGTCTCATTCTAAATGGGTCTCTTACCCTTGGTTGTCAGGCTGCCCAAAGGCAAAGCTGAAGTATTTGGGAATCTCTCCTGTGTCCCAGCGAAATGAGTCTTTTGGAGGTTTATATGTCAGGCCTGTGGAGTAAAAACATGCTGTTTTATCTATGCACCATTTCAACTACATCCATATCCATAGCATGTCTAAATAAAAAAAACAGCAAGTTAAAGTGTCAGTGTTTTTCAGTGTTAAAGATATAACTGATATATTTCATTTATATTAATTTATAATACAAAAGAGTACCTATCCAGAGGTTTTCAGTTCCAAAGTCATTCCTGGTGAGCTCGTTGCTCGTCTCCAGCTGACTAAGATAAAAAGCCAGAATGTCCTGAACCTTCTGATTGTGGATTTGAGCCAAAATGCCTCCTTGTTCCTGATGGTTTACATAAGAAAAAGTTTAAACTTGGTCTCTGTATGTTGTTTTATAGAAAACTCGATGAGGCTCCTTAGTGAGGCGCACACACACCTGACAGTGACTTTTAGCCCCATAGTAGGTCTCAACATCAGAAGACACCATGAAGCAATTTCCATCTATGATGAGATCACAGCTTTGAAATGGGAATTCCACTTTCTCTGTTGGGACACAAGCACATAAACTAAAAATGAAGAGTAATAACACTGACCACCAACTTCAAATCAGACAGAACAGGCTTACACATGCTTGGGAACAAGCACAAATTTCCTTACTCAGTGGCTGCCAGTTTCTCAGAAATAAAGTGATGTACACTAAGGTATTAAAGTGTCTACCGGTCTACCTGATGAGATCACAGAAAATCCCCTCATATCTCCTCTAAAGGTCAATGATGAAACCATCAATAAACTACTATAGTATCCTTTACCATGTCATTAGCAGATGGCATTTCTCATTATGTGTGTGGACTATGTGGACGAATTAAAGCATTTCTTGGTTTCAGAGCAAAACTTGATTAGATATATAAAAACATAAAGAACCGTTAGCCAGTGACAATATTAAAACCACTAACTGGTGAAGTAAGATTTTCTTGTCTGATTCCACTGGCAAATGTCAAATTGTTGGCTCTATAATGCAGGAGGACAATTGGAAAAAAGAGTGAGCATCTCAGGAACTTTGACAAGGGTAAAACATTCATGGCTTTCAGGCTGTAGTACACGCTGACTGTCCACCATCTAAAAGCACCTAAAATGTAAATGTAAGTCACATTTTTAAAAAAAGCTGTTGCTTTTGATAAAAATGATTAATTGCATTTTCATTTTCATTTATATCAGTGAACAGTGTGTGTGTGTGTGTGTGTGTGTGTGTGTGTGTGTGTGTGTGTGTGTGTGTACTGCAGGCATTAATTGTCCTCTGGATGTTCATTAACACATACAACCAGCCTAAACTTTGTTGCACATTATGTCGAGGTGTGATTAAAAAAAACCCTGTGGTTTGGTCAACTTTTCTCTCGGCTGCTTTCAGTGTAGTTGCTATTATGAGATCTCTTAGTGAAAGCCTCCTTTAACACGGGCCTTTGTGCTCTAACTCATCTGATGTGTCAGATAGGTTATCCTTTCCTTGTCAGGAAGTGCAAGGAACCAAATCTTGTAACTAGGGAGGGCACTGAGGGCATACTGTGTTTGTGTGGCCATAAAGCACACTCTGTACTTCAGGTCTTAACTGAGTGTACTCTGTCAGACACCTCACAACAATAAAGTGGAACTCCATGACGACAGTCTCACCCTGGGGGACAAATTCATGGTGCACAACCTATTAAACCTACCAACGCTATTAGCCTTTAACCCACTAACGTGTTTCTAACCTTGCTCATCACTTGAGATGCTGCATGTGGACTGGTAAACTGAAAACTCCTTGCAAATCCAATCAAGCTCTCATTAACAGCAATGATTGTCCACATAAAATCAGATAAAATGAGATCAGTCGTAAACAGAAGCTAATTTTTGCTGACTATACAAGTCTGAGGTCTGTGATGAAACTGCAAAGTGGACAGTGCACATGCTCAGAATGGGACTTCCAGGAAGTGATCAAAGAATAGCAGCATCTTTGGAAGCTGTCTTAAAAAGATCCAAGAAGAGGAAATTAAACTAGTAGATCAAATTTAATTTTCATTATCATTATTATTATTGTTGTTATTATTATTAGTTTTGCCTTTGTTTTATTTTTATGGTGCTTCTATATTATATATATATATATATATATGTATATGTATGTATTATGTATATATATATATATATATATTATATATTATATATTATATATAATATATATATATATATTATTATGATAGCCCCCTTCCGGCCGGGGTTACTTGCGTAGTAGCATTCCCAACCAACGCCTGTTTTACGGTCTCTTGCCACCGCCCCATTATATATATGATATTATATATATATATATATGTAGATGATATTATTTATATTTATTATTATATATTTATTTATTATTTATATATATATATATATATATATATATATATATATATATATATATATATATATATTATATAATATTATATTATATATATATAATATAATATATATATATATATATATTATATATATGTATGTATATTCGGGGGCGTCTGTATCCAGTAAGGGTCCTAAGGCTAGACCCCCTATGCTAAGCGAGCCTACCGCAGACATGAGCGAGACAGATAAATATGAAGGCATGCCGGCTCGGACGTCGCCCGGATCAACAAGGTCCGCGTCAGGTGTTGAGGAACCAGGGCACCCTGACGAAAAGTGGGCTACTGGAACAAGAAGGCATCGGTGGGCAAGAGACGAAAACAGGGCGTTGTTGGAATGCTACTACGCAAGTAACCCCGGCGGAAGGGGCTACATGAATAGGATGACGGACCTATGGATTCTTCGATACCCAACATCCACAATGACGGCGAAACAACTAGTAGCTCAGTGTTCCAACATTCGAAAGAAGGGACTGCTCTCACAGCTAGAGATTGACGAGGTACAACACAAATGCTACGGCAAGGAGGAGTCAGGACGCCAGGTCAGGGGGGAGATATCATCACCCCCACCCGAGATTGGGTACATAGCCCCAAGTGCGATAGGAGAAGGATCGTTGAGTGCGAGAGGAACTGACCTGAAAAATAGGATAATGGCCAAGCTTGAAACCTGGATCCCCCGTAGCCGGTTACCAAGATTACGTGAAGTACCCTCAGAAGGTCTGCTAGATGATGTTAATGCAGCACTACGGGCAATACCTACAACCACGATTACCGACACTAACAAGCTGATCTACAATACGGCAGCAGTGATCAGTGAGATGCTTGGCTACAAGTTGAACAGCCACAAGGGGCAGTACCCTCCATGGAGAAGGAGGCTAGAGGGCAAGATCAAAGTAGCACGGAGGGAGGTTAGCCAACTAACGGAGTTGCAGAAAGGTGCGACAAAGAAGGTGCCTAAGAAATACAGCAAGCTGTCCATACCTGAGGCCTTGGAAACTGCCAAGCAAAGACTCACAGCCTTAGCCAGCCGCTTGAGGAGGTACACCAGAGAGATAGAAGGCAGGAGAATAAACCAGCTGTTCTCCACAGAACCAGCAAAGGTGTACTCTCAGTGGCAAGGGAACAATAATAAGAGAACAGCACCACCAAGGCTGGAGACGGAGCAATACTGGAAGAGCATATGGGAGAAGGACGCAACCCATAACGGCAATGCTCAGTGGCTAGTGGATCTGAGGGCAGACCACAGCGACCTCCCTGAACAGGGTCCAGTAACCATCACAGTGGCAGATACCAAGAAAGTACACAGAACTACGGAACGGAGCAGTTGTCAGCCACCTCCTGTACATGGATGACATCAAGCTGTATGCCAAGAGTGAACGAGACATCGATTCACTGATCCACACTACCAGGCTATACAGCAATGACATTGGAATGTCGTTCGGACTGGAGAAGTGTAGTCGGATGGTAACAAAGAGAGGGAAGGTAGTCAGAACTGAGGGGATTGAACTACCAGAAGGCAACATTGCAGACATAGAGGACAGTTACAAGTACCTGGGGATCCCGCAGGCGAATGGGAACCATGAAGAGGCCGCTAGAAAGCTGCAACCACCAAGTACCTGCAGAGGGTCAGGCAAGTCCTGAGGAGTCAGCTGAATGGTAAGAACAAGATCCGGGCCATCAACACGTACGCCCTGCCCGTGATCAGGTACCTGCTGGGGTAATAGGCTGGCCAAAGGAGGAGATAGAAGCCACTGACATAAAGACAAGAAAGCTCCTTACCATGCATGGAGGGTTTCACCCCAAGTCCAGCACCCTGAGGCTGTACGCTAAGCGGAAGGAAGGGGGCCGGGGACTGGTGAGTGTCAGCACCACAGTCCAGGATGAGACAAGAACATCCAAGAATACATTGGGAAGATGGCCCCAACTGACCGAGTGCTCAGTGAATACCTCAGGCAGCAGAAACCCAAGAAAGAGGAGGGAGACGAGGAACCATCATGGAAGGACAGGCCCCTGCACGGTATGTACCACCGGCAGATAGAGGAGGTGGCTGATATCCAGAAATCCTACCAGTGGCTGGACAAAGCTGGACTGAAAGACAGCACAGAGGCACTAATCATGGCAGCACAAGAACAAGCTCTGAGTACAAGATCCATAGAGGCTGGGGTCTATCACACCAGGCAAGACCCCAGGTGCAGGCTGTGTAAAGATGCCCCAGAGACAATCCAGCACATAACAGCAGGGTGCAAGATGCTAGCAGGCAAGGCATACATGGAACGCCAAACCAAGTGGCCGGCATAGTGTACAGGAACATCTGTGCCGAGTATAACCTGGAAGTCCCGAGGTCAAAATGGGAGATGCCCCCAAGGGTGGTGGAGAATGACCGAGCTAAGATCCTGTGGGACTTCCAGATACAGACGGACAAAATGGTGGTGGCTAACCAACCGGACATAGTGGTGGTAGACAAACAGAAGAAGACGGCCGTAGTGATCGATGTAGCGGTTCCGAATGACAGCAATATCAGGAAGAAGGAACACGAGAAGCTGGAGAAATACCAAGGGCTCAGAGAAGAGCTCGAGAGGATGTGGAGGGTGAAGGTAACGGTGGTCCCCGTGGTAATCGGAGCACTAGGTGCGGTAACTCCCAAGCTAGGCGAGTGGCTCCAGCAAATCCCGGGAATAACATCGGAGATCTCTGTCCAGAAGAGCGCAGTCCTGGGAACAGCTAAGATACTGCGCAGGACCCTCAAGCTCCCAGGCCTCTGGTAGAGGACCCGAGCTTGAAGGATAAACCGCCCGCAGGGGCGTGCTGGGTGTTTTTTTTTTTTTTATATATATATATATTATATATTATTATGTTTTGTTTATACACTTATATAGCCCTTTGTGCCAGCGATCACTTTTAGTACAGTAACCTTGCAACACTGTAACAAACATGTTCAGGAACAGATGGAGAAACTTTACAGGAATCTGAGGTGTAGACTCGATCCCCAAATTCTCCAGATCTCATTTTGATCAGGCACATGTGAGCTGGACAAACTAATTTTAACTACGGAGACCACAACTCACAATTCACAAGACTTAAAAGATGTGTTGCTAACATTTTGCTGACTGATACCACAAGTCAGCATCTGACATCCAGTGAAATCCATCACTTGACAGCTTAGAGATTATCAGTCAGTTCAACTGAGACCTGCACAATATCAAGCAGGAGGCCTTACTCTTGTGGCAGACTGTTGCATACTAAAGCACACTTCACTTACCTGCACACTCAGCACCCCCATAGCCAACAGCACACAAGCAAGAGCATCCCTCTTCTTTGAAATGTCCGTGCACACATTGCACATTGCACCGAACTGAAAAACACACAATAAAACAGCAGCATTTTTGCCTTTGCTTTCTCTTTGTACATTAAGATAAACAAGGACAGCAGACTGAGAATGATATTTATGACATCAGCTGTTGATAATTGGTACCCTGGCAGAAGCGTCCAGTGAACCCGAGGTCACACTTGCATTTGCAAGAGGAGATATTAAGATGGCCGTGTTCGCCACAGTTCATACGACATGGGTTCTTTGGAATCTCTGATTAGAAACACAAAAACATGTAGTCCGCAAAATGAACAACTGGGAACTGATCATATTAAATATTAAAGAAAGTTTGCTGTCACTGAAAAAATACAACTATAAATACATTTTGTGTGTGTGTTTGTCTTACCACATAGTCCGCCTACATGGTCCCACAGTCTCAAACAGCCAGACATTGAGGAGGTGCAGAGAGAGCAGTACAGCCCTGATTTATACGGCATCACCAGTTGACCATTTACCTCCCAGTTACCCCTGAAACATGAAAATATATGCAGCAAAAAAATTGTGTTTTCTAATAATACTTTTCATATTTAGCTTTTTGGGAAAGCAAACTGTTACCCAGGATAGTATGCACAGACAAATATCTCCCAGAGTTCTCCATTTCTCCAGCACTGTTGGTTGGCACAACCCACCTGGCTTGAAGTAGCCCAGACCAACTACAAGACAAGAGAGGATTTGGACACACAAAACAGCATTTTTATAGGCAACAGAAACTGTATGCAGCTGTGGGACTTCATATAAACATGTGTAAGGTTTGTATATGCTGGTGAATACCTGGGTATAGTGTTGACAGGTGGCATTTTCCTTACATCGGCCGCTAGAGTAGAGAAAATCTTTTCCTTCCTCGAACCAGAAGTCAATGATGTCAGAAAATGAAGCAGCACCAACAACAGAAAGATGTGTGTTCCAGCCAATATGGCTGAAAGACGAGGAGTGTTGAAGGAAAGGCTCTTTGTGACACAATGTGGCTCTCTCCTTTGCAAGTGTAGCCAACTTCTCATTCCAGTCCTATAGAAAATTAACATCCCCATTATTCTGCAATAGAGTGGCATGGGTTTCAATTTCAACAGTAAACAAAGAGACACACAGATAAAAGGCTAATGCTTCCAACCTCGTCTCTGTTTTTATGGTCCTATGGTCCTAGGCAACTGGCTAACATAGGAGGGTCATCAGAAAATGCAGCTCAAACAGGCCCTTTGTCTTGTTTACACTGTGTTTCTCTGATTTTTTGTTTATAATCTAATGCATTTTATAATCTAAGATGCATTAGATTATAATATTTATAATTGATTTATATTTATGTCAGACTTGATCAGTATTGTCAGTATTTCCTACCAAAAGTTCCAAATAAACTACTTTGTCTTTTAAAAAGTGATGCATATCAAGGCCATCTAAAGTAGGTTAATTATACACAATGACTAGCCAGTGTCAGCTATCAAAATTACATGGTAAATGGACTGATTGTTATATAGCAATGTTCTACTCTCCTGGAGTACTCTACACAACACGCCACATTCACTATCTTCTATGCACTTACTAACTACCATTCACACACCAACAGAGGCATTGCAGAGCAACTTGGGGTCAATATCTTACCCAAAGATATTTGGCATGCAGACTAGGGGGAGCCAGGGATCAAACCACTAGTAGAGGGCCTGCTCTGCCTCCTGAGCTACAGCCACCCTGCTTCTAAATGGACGAGAATGCATATTGCAAAATACATAAAGGCCCCAGGTAGCTGGTGAGTTCGAACCAATAACTTTCTAGCTTTAAGGAGACTTCTATTACTTCTATTACTATCACTAGCATCGGTGCTCTGTCCCTTTCCTTTTTGTAATTTTGGAATAAGAGGAATTGGGCAAAAGTTGTCTTTTTGCAGATTAAGCATGATGCAGAAAACAGTACCAGAAATCCTCAGTGGGGTTTCAGTGAATAACTGCCTTTATAGAGTGACTCTGTTCTCATACAGTTAGGCATCAGACAGGCTTTATTCCAGGGACCTGGCAAGTTAAAGATCGGCTAATATTGAGAATATGTGTCAGAAATGTGCCCCTCATATACCCTTTTTTAGCACCTAGAACAGTTAAGAGCTAAAGTGCACGTGTGAAAGCCCATTATGATGTACTTTGGAACTATTGATATTGGGCTGGCTGTTGTTCAGGAGATAGAGCAGGTTGTCTGGTGATTTGATACCTGGCTTGCACATCAAAGTATCTTTGGCCAAGATGCAAATTGTCCCAGATGCATCTTTTGGAGTGTGAATGCTAAATTTGATAAAAGCGCTTGTGTGAATGAGTAAATGAGTGCAGTAAGAAAGCACTTTGGGTGTTCAAATAACAGTCCACTGATATACATAAAACTCTTTGTTATTCTGGTGCAAAACCATTAGTTTGCAGTAGCAGTGTGCAATATGTCTACCAGAACAGGAGTGAGGGATCTTATATCGATGTGTCTGCTTGGCTGGCTCTCTAATGTCATGCACTGCTAAGACTGCACTACCCAAATCAATCACAGGGCTTTGTTAAGAGTTGAGGCGTGAACTCAGTGAGCACAGTCCATGGTTAGCTACAATCCTGACGAACTTTAGGTCAAAGAAGAATGATTCAAATGTCCACAATCATTTTTTAGCCTAAATGACAGAGATTCCTGTTTCTGCTTGTATTTCTGTCCCTCTGTTCTGTTCATAATTAGTACAGATGGAAAATCCAAATCTGTCTGAAATGTCAGACTGACAGGATTTTCAAGACAGGTTTTCCTGGTGTAACTCTGCTGTGTAGTGTCAAAACGCTGAGGCCTCTTGAGTTCATCATTCACGCTGCTCTCTGATGTCAGCCAGCCAAAGCCTTTGATGACAGAGGGCTATTAGATCACTGGGTAATATCTTTCATTTTGAAGTGTGCCATTATGTATCAGCGCCTAACAGCATGAACAATTTATGCATTTCAGCCTTCTTTGTGGCACCAACAACTGTTATATTCAGGTGTTTAGTAGCAGTAAAAATACAGAAAAAATGGAATTGCATCTAAAGTTCAGGGAAATGGTTCCCTCTGAAGCTAACTACATTAAAATAACACGTTGGACCCTTGGGTATAGTTCTGAGAGAGATTAGTAAGATAAAATCTCACAAACAGAGGTCATGATTTCCATATCAAAAGAGACCACTAAACTTCAATATCGGCCTCTTTGAGTGATGGTATGACCTCAATACTTCTTAGCCTAAAGAGCTCAAAGAAAATCCGCCGACAGGGCACTGGGTGAGAAAAGGAGGAGCATCATTCATTCTTGGAATATTGGTATTTTATCTCATCCTGAAAGCAAAGCCTAAAGGACCATATAATAATCACTTCAACACAATCTCACCATAATACTTGCTGGTTCATTCTTGTGTGGGAGAGGGGGAAGAAAAAAAGTATATTAAGATATTCGCAAACACAGGTGAAGCCTTGAGCCTTTTAACGTTTATCAGTAAAGCTCTTTAATAATGCCTCTTCAGCTTGGCAAAGCCTTCTCTGAGGGTTTTCATGGGGAAATTACCTGTAAAACCAGAGTCGTGAATGCAAAGTGATTATCCACATCCTCTTTTTCTCATTACTGCCTTATCAGTTGCGAACAGTTCTCTGAGGCTGAAGAGCAGTCGAAGAAAAGGGGCTCAGTCTGTACGACTGGCTTTGAGGATGTAATCTATGAAAAAGTGACAGTTTGCCCTGGCACAAATCTCATATTGGGCCCAAAGGGTATCTAGTACACAGTGAGTTTCATAATCCTTCATTACCTCTCATAACCACATACATGCAAGAGAGTTGTGCAGATAAGCACTGTATCAACTGATGGAGTAAGACAGGGAAACAATTTAGCACTGCTGTTTAGAATTTGCTGCACATTCAGAAACATTACTCATTGTTTCTCTCGAAACATGCTGTTATTGTCATGTTTACAATAGACCTATCTGTTGATCATTAGAATAAAGAGACAAGTGAAAAATGTTGCTTAGTTACTTAACTTTAGTTGTCTAAGAAATAAACTTAGTGACCCTGACAAACTTGCACACACCCAGTTGATATTGGCCTCATTCTCATTTCTGACGCTATCAGTGAGCCTGCAGCAGAGCAGAACAAATTGTGCACTAACGCTACTATTTCACACCGCCGAGACTATCAGCACTACAAAGGAAGACAGCTCGACCCCAAACCCTGCTGTTTGTGTGGTCATTTGGTGAGTTTACTTTTAAGAATTCAAATTATTTTCAGTGAAACAACTGTGGCCACTGATCAAAGCTGCCTTTTCTGCACTTCAGCGTGTCCTTTAAATGCACAGGGACCTCAGTAACCTCAAGAGTCCTCCTAAGTTATAGATGCTGTCATGGGAGAGTCACACTTAGCTGATTGAGCACTCAGCTCGGACGTGCTACCTCATATCTTCACACATTCCTGATCAGTGTGACTGACACTTATGACAATTACTGTTTTTCTGGGCCTTGGGACTGAAGCTGCAGGCTTACTTAATGTTAGAAGCATAACAATTAAGTTTACAACCTGCAGCTAAGTGTTTTTCACACAGGAATGGGAAGAGAAACAACAACAAATAACTAATGTTCCTTATTAGGAGAAAAACATGAGCTGCATAGGAAGACCAGGCAGTCTACCCACACTGATTAGTTTACGTGAGCCCACACTGTTAACAAAAGCGTGATGTTAAACTCAGTGACAGCAAAGGCACTATTCAAAAACACACAGAGGAGACAGACAATAGGTGCCACAAACCATTTTTTGCATGTTAGCTGCCATGGGTTTGACCCGGCTGCGCAGTCTATTGTGGTGAGCAACAATCTGTGAGTGCTCCTTCACCCCGAGCCCTGGAAGAAGATACAGATGGTCATTAACTATACTTCTACTGCTGTCGCTGTGGCAACTAAATGCAAATACACTGGAGAGAGACAGAGAGTAAAAGTTTGGACTGTAAAGCCTATCACATCTACACCCAGGAGTCTGTAGGTTAAACACAAAATCAATCACAACACATTTTAAAACTTTTTAACATTATTGAGGGAATTCTTTGTCATATGAACGATCTAAAACCGTTTTAATAATATAAACCTGCTGGCAGCGTCTTTAAACAACATGTGTATGTCTGCTGATCATAGTGTATGTAATTATGCTATAAATAAACGCTAAGAATGTGTCTACTTCTTATGTTAACTCAAGTAAAACAGTTAACTGAACGTATTCCCAATTCTCCCTACTTTTAGCACTTAGACAAGCTAAAATAAATGCTATATAATAATCTAAACTGGGGCTGACCACCTTAAATCTTTGTTTGTTAGGCTGTATCATGAGAAAATTTTACTGCACTGCTGACTTTGATCTGTTGATCATCAACTTCACATCTTACTGACTTAATTTATTGATATTAGATCTAAAAACATTTTAAGAAAAAGTTAAAGAGAAGCCTGTTTAATTCAATTTAAGCTAATGCCACATTTAATATAGAGTTTAGTAGTCAGCAGAAATTTACATTTTACTTCTAACTACTAGATAAAAAATTTGAACCTTTATAACTGAACCTGTCCTTTCAAACACCCACTTCACAGCTGCACTTAACCAATCTAAAATGTGTGTAAATTGATCACTCTCTACTGGAAGCTGTCCCTTGTGGCCACCTGACTTCTCTCACAACGCTAATTGTGTTTACCGGTGGTGGGGAAAATCCGGAGCTCCGGTGTCTCTGCCATGATCCAGTTTGCTGAGTTAAACGAGGGCAGAAGAAAGCAAACGACAAAAACATCCAAATGCCCGGACGCTGTTACCGACCCCATTGTGAACTCCTGCAGCGTCTGCACCAACAGTGGCCACTTGCTCTGCTATCCTATCCTGCCTCCCTGCCCCTCTCCTCCCTCTTTTATCCTCACCGGCTCAAGTGCTTTCACCTCAGGCTGCGGCACATGCCACTGACTATTCAAAGAGGAATTTACTAATCCTACAGGGACTGTAGACACAGTGTAGATTTTCTATGCTGTTTCAATATATTACTAAGTAAATATTCAAATTATCCCAATTTTAATTTGTGTTTAAAGCATACTGATCTTTCAACAGGTTATAAAAGTAATTAAAAGAAGTCATCTTTTCAAATCCATTAAGCAGACTGAGCTGTCTTTCCACAGAACTTAAAATGAAATGATTATATTGCAGTTATCCTAATGCTGTTTTCTTCTCAATACAATGCACTTAAAAATAAATACACTTTTTCCCCATATTTTATAAATTGCTCTAGTTTGTAGTACAAGCATCATGGCAGAGGCACTTAGCGCTCCAAGCTGAGTGCCATAGCAATTTTACGCACTATCTACCGATTAGTAATGTAATCTACAATATTTCAAGAATTCTTTAAGCTTGTTGTGTGACACATATGATGAGTATAGCAAGATTATAACAACAGTTTTAAAATAAATGTGGTAGGCAGCGGAATACCATAATAAAGTATAGCACTTGAAAATAAATGCTTTGTTTGCCTACTATCCAAAACTGACAGCAGGTGTGTTGCCACTTACTGTCAGACGCTGGAAGGAAAACATATGGCTTAATGATTTCTGTCATTCTTATTGATGGATTGTTCACTGATATCTGTTTTTCAAATGAGCCAGTTGAAATCTGTCTTCATTTCTAAGCCATATGAAACTGTAGGAGAACATGATGTGTGGTACAAAAAGCCTACAAATATCTGTGTAAAGGTACAGTATGGTGCTCTCTCTGGGTGCCTGTTTAGACTTGGTGACAATGTTTTTAAGGACCCAGTACAGGAAGCATGAATCATGAATCTGCAAACTGTGAGGTGATTCAGTGTCTGGAGATGACTGCAGCACAGTACAATACAATCCCACTCATTTCTCTCCATTGTGGTCTGTAGGTATTTTGCACTGAGGATTCAGTCCCTCGGCTGTCCACTTTTTTCCCATCCTTTTGATTTTGCTGTATCAGTGAGGAACAGTCTGACTCTGCTGAGCCAAATGACAGCTGTGCGCTCAGTCTGTTAAAGGCTCAGACAAACACAGACCCACAAAGATGATTTCTCAGGTAAAACCAACAATCAAAGGAAGAACCAAAACATTCTTCATGCTTGAGTTCAAAGCAGTAGTCAAGGTCTTCGGTACATTTTACACATCGAAATGTAGCGCTGCTGACTGCTCACAGGGGTGTGATGACAATAGTCCATCTACACAAATGTTTTCTTTAGCATATCTCTACATTTTTATTTAAATGATGAGATTTCACTCAAAAAAAAGATGTAGCAGAGTGAAACTGACATATCTGTTTCATCCCTATTGCAACGTTACAAGTGTATCTGTCTACAGCTAACGTTGTTGTTCAAAGAAAGGCTAAGGTATAGGGCAAAGCAGAACTGGTTTAAGGTGCAGCTCTTTATCGCTTTCTTTAGAACTAAGGATTAGCTCTGCAAGTGCAACTTCATTCCACATCACTCGTGCACCATACAGACAGGTTTAAAAATTATAATCTATCACTTACCTCAACAACTAGTCATGCAAAACTTTCATAAGTCAATGCACTGATTCCAAAAAGTGTGTAAAGGTGTCCTGAGGTATTAGGTGTCAAATTGTTTGCAAGCATATACAGTAAGCTGAAGGTTTGGTCCTCCATAGTATAATATTCAGAATATTAAGTCTTGTTTTTCCCTTACATCTCACGTATGATACTCTATCTCGCATTATATTCAGGTAATCAGTGTTATTCACACCAAGTCTGCAGTTGTAATATTCTGGCTGATAGGTGTACATGTAGTCTGCTTACTCTTGCTGCGTATAGCTCGTTTAAGAAGAGCATCTGAGATTAAAGAGATGAATTTAGCAAAGTAAAAGTGAACTGGGGGCACTTTTTGATTTGGATCCAGATGTTATACAGCTGCCCACAATCCACTGCTACAATAATAGCCACGGCAGGTATGGACATTATGCTCGAAAGCTGAAACCAGTCTTTATTTCAATCTAATTAATCAGTCTAATTACAGAACAGGAAAGCACCTTTATTCCAGCAGAAGTTACAGCTTCACTGTACCTTTTCTCCAAGACCAAGCTGCTTTAAACAGAGAGGAAGTGCACTCCAAATTAAGTAAAAAGGGATCATAATGTGGTCACATTTTTCTCCTTTGCTGATTGGCTACTGAAGAGTAAATAACATTCCACAAAGTTTAGCTGCGGCAGCTTTCCCACTGCCAACTGTGGTCCTTCTCTCACCTGGAGTTCCTACACACTCTGGGAGCCGGCGGCACAAAGTTCACACTGCACGCAAGTTCTAACACATTTGAGAAGCGATTAGTGAGTGCACACTGGACTGGTTTTAGTGGAAACATGTTTGCATCACCTGTGACTGCCATCACCTTACTGTGTTTCTGTTTGCTTCATCCTACTTTGGGGCAGGTAAGCAAGTATGTAACTAAAATTGTTAACTATTGACTGAATGAATGAAGGAATTAGTCGCAGCAGGGTACCTGAACTTATATCACGTCATTCCACTTAAAGTTCTTATGTCAAAAGGAATTGGTTAAAATGTGCTTCATGAATTATGTATGGCTTAAAGAGAATTGCATGCATAAGTTCTTCTGAAGTCCAGAGCAGATCTTAATGTGAATGTACTTCTTGGCATCACAAAAAATGTTTCACAGAGCAAACCTTGAGTCACCCTTACTTTGCACGCAAGCCTCAAGAGCAACATCCCAGAGGCTCCGGTGGCTGAATTCACTCCTATATCTATGCTGTGCTTCACTGCAAACCAGCAAAACATTTCCAAAACGCTGCATCTGGCTGTGAATGGCTCTCTTCAGCTTCTGCCATGCATGTCTGTGCCTGTATGTGTTTGTTTGTTTGTTTGTTTGTTTTCTACTGAAAAATGGCCAGCCAATTATGTGTTTGTAGAAGTGCATAATAATGTGAGTGTGATGCTGTAGACTCTTGCATATGTGCGTGAGAGCATATTGTTATTTAGGCTCTAAATCTATTAAATAGAACTGTGCTGCAATTTTGTGCTTCAGCACCACATGCCTCCTACAGACTGTGGTAACATCACCCAGTTAACATGAACACCATGTGAAATATCTCCCAGCACAGGCAGAAAGGGGCCTTTGACAACTACCTGATAAACACCAGCCATCAGTACCAAAAATGACTGAAGTCATTCCAAACCTCAGTTCAGTCTAAATAAGAAAAGCGTTTTCAACAAATATTGACTCTTCTTACATAACTGCTGCTGGATGAAAACACTAATTGGTTGTCTGAAAACATGTGAGAGAGCAGAGGTCTGGTGGGGACTGATGCTGTTGAATCAACGAGAGTAATGAGGGAACAGTTATGGGTTGAAAATAGGTGTGTGCAACTCACTTGAGCTCACACCCTGTTAAATGAAAGCAAGGCACTGGAAGGAGATGACTGGTTGAGTCAAAAATCAGCAAGTAATTACCCTCTAATGAAAGCTTTTACCTCCATTTCTGTAATGACTCGTGTAGTTAAAACTTCAAACCTAAGCAGAACATCACACCTGGAACCACATAAGAAAGTGTTACACACAGAGCCTTTCTTGTCAGCATGACTGAGTTACAGTATGGAGCTAGCTGGGGGGGGAGGTTCCTGCTGGCAAATATAGTGACAAAACATTCTCTGATCCCCACAAGATTTACTCCTTCATATGAGCACATCAGCCTCTGCAGTGCACTGGGTAAAATAGCGCAGTAGGTAGAGCAGATTCATTTGTCTATTCATTTAGATGAAGAGATTTTTCTTCCTCATTGCGATAGCATTCACACAGAAATATGTGCAGGTGCAATTTATATGACTTAACATTACAGAAATGCACTAGAAGTTTGAATTTTGAATATTTTTTCATTTGACACAAAAAAGAAAACCAAATCCTTTTATTGAAGACTTTTGAATGAATTCGTGTCCTTGAATGAACAGGAAGATAAATAAACTGTTAATAGAAGCAGCATCACTGGCTTGTGGTGCTTTCATCTCTCAACAAATTTCACCTGTCCTGGGTCAAATAAATTGCTTTTCCATTTTCAGATATTTAGCAAGGATGGTGTTTTTTTTGTTTTTTAAATCGTTAGCTTCATAGCATAAGTGCCTAAGTCATTTTTTGGTCAAATTGAGATTTTTGCCTAACTTTACTCCCCTACCACTGCTGCATCATCCTGTCCGTCTGAAACACAAAACACAAAAAAATGACTTAGGCACTTATGCTATGAAGCTAACGAAATAAGAAACTGTCATTTCAATGTAACATTATATAGCATGCCTAACCTTCTCACGTGGTTTTTTTAGATGGTTGCAACTGTTTTTCTGATCCTCTTTGTGAATTAGAAGATCAGTATTGACTTAAAATATTCAACATTTATGAATTTATTCAGTAGCTCTGTATTATTCTAGGACTGTCCGAGCAGGCAAGAAATTCAAGGGTCCTTGAAGCAAGTCCAGAAGCTTCTGTCAGCCCATGAAGCCTCCTACATGCAGAGTCTGCGCAACCTAAAGAAGAAAATAAATTTACTGCTGAGCAGTGCTGCAAGGCAGAACACAAAAGCCATCAACAGTAAGTAAATATCTTAGAAAGACTTTATTCAAATTCTTAGATATCAGAGTATTTCTGCTGTTATGTTCTTATAATTTCTAGGTACCTGCCCCAAACTGGAGTCCCTCATTAATGGGAGGAAACTTGGCAAATCACACAGCATTGGCCATGAGATTCACTTCCTGTGTGACCCTGGTTATGAACTCGTGGGATCAGAGAGCAGGGTTTGTCAGGAAAGCCTGACCTGGAGCAGCCAGCAACCAACCTGCCGAGGTGAGAGAGGA